GGTCAGCTGAGGTTTACAAACAACGACCAACAAGGCTCAACAGAGGCTCTTGTCAGCCTGTCCACCTGAGTGGAGAGATGCCTCAGTGATGTGCTCTGACTTCCTATGGTGCACACACAATAAGTAACATATACTTTGTAATCTACAAACAGGGTGGAGAGGTGGTTCTTGGTGGTCAGCAGTATTGACTGCTCTTCAAGAGGACCCTGGTTCAGTTCCCAGCATCCACACGGTGGTTCACCACCTCCAGTACCAGGGGCTCCAACAACCTCCTCTGGCCTCCACAGACACTGAACACATGGGAGCAAGATGCATGCAGGCAAAACAGAAGACAGAAAAATTTCAAAAAATAATGAAATAAAAATGCATAAACAAAATTGTTCAATTATCATTTGTTACTGTAAGCACTTCCTCAAATCAAGGAAAGGGGCAACTACAAAGAGAAATTTTAAACACTAAAAGTTGGGCTTTAAAATTTTTATTTTACTTAAAAACAAAAACAAAAACAAAAACACCACAGTTTTAAGGTTTCTTTTCTGTGTATGACTGAAACTAGTGTTATGCACAGAGGCTGTGACAAACCTTGTGGATACTGAGAACCAAACCCACATCCTCTACAAATGCTCTTGGCAGCTGAGCCATCTCTCCAGCACTGACTTATTTTCAGTGTGCGTGTGTGTGTGTGTGTGTGTGTGTGTGTGTGTGTGTATAGTTTATACACCTGATTCAAGCGCCTCTGAAGACCACACTCTACAGTCTCCAGCTCTCAAGTTCTTTTTCTTTTTTTTTTTTTTTTTGGTTATTCGAGACAGGGTTTCTCTGTGTAGCCTTGGCTGTCCTGGACTCACTCTGTAGACCAGACTGGCCTTGAACTCAGAGATCTGCCTGCCTCTGCCTCCTGAGTGCTGGGACCACAGGCATGCGCCACTGCACCCAGCTAAGCAGCTCTTGATTCTTAAAAGAGGAGAAACAGCGAGGGGCCAAATGTTTAAAAGAGTAAAAGAAAAACTATCTGAATTGATTCAGGTAAGATAGTTAAAGGCTACAAGGCAATAGAGACCTAACATAATTCCCCACCTGTACCACACCTGAAAGAACCTGCCTCATAGCTAGAAGTTTACCACTCCCTGATCTGATTTCCACTCATCTGAAACTCCATAATTTTAATCTTCCCGAAAAGCTGACAGAGGAAGGAGGATCTGATACAAGTTCAAGGCCAGCCTAGTCCATATGCATTCCAGACCAGCCAGGGCTACATATGGCGTGAGATCCTATCCCAAAACAACAATAAGAACAGGCTATATCCCTTATATCACCCCTGTTCATAATAACTCTTCAATGGTTCCCCACTGCCTAGAGAATAAACATTCTGGCTCCTCAGCAAAGAATTTCAATCTTCTATAGAAAAAACACTAGACAAGAACTATACAGAATCAAGAGTTAGCACATACATTGCCCTGTACTTAAAGGCAGTCATATAATCTGACAGCTGGCAAGAAACTATTAATCTTAAACCTAACTCAAGGTAGCTTTTACAAAACATGATAGCAACACCTTTTTGATCCCAACACTCACGGAGGCAGACAAATTTCTGAGTTCAAGACCAGCCTGATTCAGCAAGTTCCAGGACAGACAGAACTACACAGAGAAGCCCTATCTCAAGAAAACCAAAATTATAATATAAATTAAATTAAATTAAAATTAAAAGAAGGACAATTCAGCCCACTAAAAGCACATGCAAGTTTCACTCTCCTGGCCCCAAAGAGAATGCAGGAGGCTTGAAACACAGGTTGGCCAGGCCTTCAAAGTGAACTACATAGTTAATTTGAAGCCGGTGGCAAAAGGCAGTAAGACCAAGTGTTGTGTCCTTTCACAGCCTATAAGCTGATACACTGCCAAACTCCCTATAAATATATTCTAGATGAAAAAAGTACAGCTTGTAACTGCCATGACCATTTGTATTTAAAAGTATATCCAAGGCTGAAGTGATGACTTAGCAGTTCAGAGCATGGTTTCTCTTCCAGAAGACCTGGGCAGGGTTCTCAGCACCCACACTGGGCAGTTCACAAGAGCCTGTATTTCTAGCCTCAGGGATTCCAACACTCTCTCTCTCTTCTGGTCTCCAAGGGCACCTGCACACATGGCAGATAAATACTTACACGTAAATAAAAAGAAAAATATCTTTTAAAAAAAGATTATTTGGAAGAGAAGGGGGTGAAAAGATGCTAACTATTTAAGACAGATCAGTCATCAGATTACAGTAGTAGGGTGAGAGCTAATCAGAGCATAAATAAAAGAAATGATGGTTCAGAGTTAAGAACCAGACAGATAGGACATGGAGCTGTAATAAAGATTAAAGTGTCAGAAATAGATGAGGCTAGAATGATGGCTCAGCGGTTAAGAACACTCACCACTCTTAGAGAAAACTAGGATTTAGTTCCCAGAATCCACCACAGGTCACAACTATGCAGTGCCAGAGGACCTGTAACAGAATGAACTGCAGAACCAACCACTCTGGAAAACTGGCTAGCACTGGGTAAGTCAAACATGCTTCACCCAATGAGCTCACAGATACCTACTCACAGAAATGAAAATATGTCTAAAACAAAATTGTGCTTAAGAATGTTCAGGACAGCTGAATAATTTGTGTTTGTGTGTGTGTGTGTGTGTCTCAAACTAGATACAGCTCCATCTCTGGCAAATGGACAAGTAAGACATAGTGTATTCGTAGACTAAACAATATTCAGCAACCAAACATAAACCACTCATACACTCCAACACTAGGCAGCTAAAAGTTATGCTAAATGAAAGGAATGAAATACAGGTGTACACAGTAAAATCTTGTGTATAGTGGCCCACTTCCCTAGAGTGGGTTTCAGAACCTTCTCTAGGGATATTAGTTACATAGGCATATATACACATTTGTCAATAAATTGTACAAGTTAACAACTGAATCTCACTGTATGTGAATGGTAATCTAATAAAGAGAAAACTCTAATAGAATGTTTTACTTCTGAAACCCATTGACTGTCAAGGCAAAATCACAACTTTTTAAAGGCTTAAAGAAAAAAAGACTATCACTTGAACTGGAACCAAGGATGTAAATAAAGTGCAAGGTCTTTGCCTCCCTAAACAATTCTCATCCCTAAAACAGGAATGAGAATTAAGCTCACTTGGAATATTTAAATTTAGCTTAGCTAGCATAGCATGCAGGACCTAGTTACTAAACAGCAGGGATAAGAAACAGCAATTGAAAATCAGGAAGTAAAGAATCACTTTATTTGGCTCCGCTACAGTGGACTCTTATTTGAAGACTCACCCACTTCTTTCCAGAAAACTTTCTTATACATAACCACGTGGCTAGTGAAGACAGTGGGGAGAGGTAGTGAGGGGAGGGAGGTTGCAGGAAGGCCAGGTACCTGTTTTTTCTTAAGCCTTAAGACACCAACCAGCTTTGCCTTTTTAAATGGAAATCAAGGTTTTAGATAGCCAGTATATCTAAACCTATAAAGAATTCAACTACTTAAGAAATTTTCAAGTCTTGTGAAGTAGAAAAATTTTTATATATACCTGGGTTTCCTGTCTACTTGGAAGCTATCTTGCAAAAGGTGGAATTCCAAACACGCATATCCCCCAAAACGACAGGCTCCTCCTGCAGGACAGGAAGCGTGTGGAGAGGTCTGCTTTCATCACACCAAACAGCCTGGTTGGATGACTGCCAACAGCAGGGCTCAAGCAGATTTATCTCTCCTGTAGATCATGTAATATATTTGCCTAATGCAATGCCCTAGATTTTACGAATTACAGGAAGCACTTGCAAGCCTGCAGATTTGAACACTTCCAAGGAGGACATCTGTAGGCTGCCTGCCCCACCTGACCAGAGGTTTAAAAGCACCCGAAGCTGCTTACTATACTCCAACTCTGATTTAAATTTCTGGAAGTTCCTTGGCTTTGAGAAAAGTCAGGGTTGAGCCACCACACTAATGTTCACACTGCACAGCCAGAACCCACATATACCGACGATCTGTTGGAAAGCTTTTAAGGCTAAAAATTGCTATTATGTGGCCATAATGGGCCCAACTGAAGGAAACTTGAGACTATAAATAGCACAGTAACATCATATGGGAGGGGAATGCTTTTTTTGAAATGGCACAAAGCAGTTTACAATTAGATACTGTATATTATTTAAAACTATAAAATATTAAATATGAGCAAACAACAACAAAAAAGCCGATTCGTGGGCTAAGAATTCGTTCTCTGTAAAAACTTTTATATGCCGCTTAACTACGGCTTTTTAAGACGCTTCTTTGTCTTGCAGCGTTATTCAATGCCAAGTAGCTCGGATCTAACTCCCAAAAATGATCTCACAAACTCCAAAATGCAGAGGAATCCGACTCAGGGATGGTGCAGTCCAAGGCTGCCAACCACCAACCAAGGGCAGCGTCACAGGGCAAGAATCCCTCAGGCTTCCTCGCTGCCCAAGAGAACCACCGCTCGTTCGGTACACTAATGAGACCTTACTTAAAAGCGCCAACCTGAAGGCCCGTTTTAAAAACTGCATTTGCCCGCCGTGGCCGTCTCCAGGGATCACCTGTCCACGGGCAGGAACCTGAGTGGGTGTTAGATGGCTTGTCGAGGCCAACCGGAACGCAGTCACACCAGGGCGCCTTGCGGCGTAGGGGCTTTCAAACAAGAATACAGGGGAGACCCACCCTCAGGAGCTTCCCAACCGTTTCTGCTCGGACGCGAGCTCTCGAGGGCGAGCGCGCTGCCGCGGAGGTGCCGCGCCGGGGTGACCTGCCCGGCCCGCGCCCCGCAGGCCCGCGCCCCAGCCCCGCCACCGCAGCGCGGCTCTCCCCGAGAATTAACTTTCTAATAATACAACTTTAGGCGGATGACCGCGGACCGCCCGGGCCGAAGCCGACCCGGAGGCGGCTTAGCGGCGCGGGGTGAGCGGCGCGCGGGGACCCCGTGGGGGCTCGTCGCCCGGCCGCGCTCACCAGGTACCAGACGCCCAGCAGGATGGTGCCGGTGCGGACATGGCAGCACAGACAGAAGCTGTGGGAGTAGAACCGCGTCCAGGGCGCGGCCATCTTCATCGCCCCGGCGCTCGCACAAGTTTGCGAGGGCGCCGTCCGCTTCGTCCCGGGCTCCGCCGGCCGGCCCGGTGGGCTGCTCCTGCCGCTCTCCCGCGCCGCTCGACGCCCGGGCCGCCTGCCCGCCCCGCCTGCCCGCCCCCGGCTCCGCTCAGCCCCGAGAGCCCCGAGCGGCTGCCGCGGCGGGACGCTGAGCGAGAGGACCGCGGCGACGCGAGGAGGCGGGGAGAGCCGTGGAGGGAGGCCTGGTCACGTGGCCCGCTCCGGCTCCTGTCGTCACCGCCGGCTCCCGCCAGCTGCGGGCGCTTGGAGCGCTGCGCAAATAAATGCGAGGTTGCTGAACCCTCCAGGAGGCCCCAGAGTTTTCCCCCGGAAATGGGTGCACCTTTGCTTGGGACTCAGAGTCATTCCGGCTGAGTTTGCCTCGCGACTAGCTGGCAGATAATCCGTGGGTACTGTGCAAGGACTGCAGTTATCCTGCAGACTGGAAGAAGGAAGCTGTGGTAGGATTCCAATCAACTGCGGTACTTTGAAGCACTGCAGAGCCCGCTGAGAGCTTTGTCTCAGCTTCCCAGCTCAGTTACTTTGGTAGCGATCTTTTCCCAGAAAACAGGATGTGTGTCGGGGGCATCCTCACTGTGCTTCTGTAGCATTTTTAATAATGACCGAAGCTCTAAAGAAACAGTCATCAAACCAGTTACTGCTGGGAGGTCTATGCAAGACACAACACACAGCGTTGAGGGAACCCAGAGGAGTATGGGTGCGGGAAGGGGAGAAGTCCTTACAGGTGGTGTTTGGTCTCCAAGGTTTAGCCTCTGATGACCACAGTGATGGCTAAGAATCTCGGAGAAGTTAGATTAAAAGTCCGTATAAAAGTTATATTTCAGACTTGGAACAAATAAAATGGGTTCGATTTAAAATTCTGTACATGTCAAATAAGATGAAAGATGATCAATAACGTTAGGTAAGGCTGCTTCACTGCACGGTTGGTTAGTTTCATAAAAACATACCACATTCTTGTGTACTTTAAACTTGGTTTCTGTCTCCAGAGATACCAGGTGCAGGCCCTTGAGCAGAGATAAAACGAGGAATTGAAAACCTCGGTATTTGTTTCTTTTCTTCCTGACATTAGAGATAACTTTCTCTTTGGAATCATCTATTGTTAGTTCTGGGTTGAGTCTTTCCTTTCGTGCAGTGTTATCTTAGCATGCTAGAGGCTCTGATAGGCCTCCGTTTCTGAGCCCAGAGGGCTATCCTGCCTTGGAGCATTTTGACTCCCAGAGGCTAGTCTGCCGGCAGGCAGGCACGGCTTGTTGAGGCAGCCACGATCTACCCACTGGGGATCGGGCATTGAAGACCTCTTTTTTTTTTTTTTTTTTTTTCCTGCGGGAATGCCTCTGCAGGAATGCCGACAGCCTCAGAGCAGCAGCCAAGGTCTACAGCCAAGCATAGTTTTGGCTGTAGTTAAGCCTGTCAGGAAGGCTCGTCTCAGGTTTAAAATTTTTACCAACTCCTGTATGGGGACTCAGAGACCACCCTCAGCCATTTAATTAAGATGACAGTGAGACCACATCTGCGTCTGTAGGTCTATAGATATATTTGTGGGCATGTTAGAGGACAGGAGGTGTGAAGCAGAGGCAGGTGGATCTCTGTGAGTTCAAGTCAACCTGGTCTTTATGGTGAGTTCCAGGACAGTCAGGGATATTGTAGAGACTACCTCCAAAACAAACAAACAAACAAACAAACAAACAAACAAACAAAAAACAAGAAAGAAAGAAAGAAAGAAAGAAAGAAAGAAAGAAAGAAAGAGAGAAAGAAAGAAAGAGAAGAAAAAAACTGAGGCTGCACAGGAACTTAGGTAGAGGCAGGGGCCAGGTTATGCACTTTTAAGATGTTTAATTGCTTGATTTTTGTTTGACACAGGGTTTTTCTGCATAGCCCTGGCCATACATTCACAGAGTTCTGCTTCCCAAGTTCTGAGATTAAAGGCATGTGCCACCACAACCACCCAGTTTTGGTTGTTTGGGACTCCCTCAGTGAGGGAGGTCTCACTGAGTAGCACTGACTGGCCTGGACTCGCTCTGTAGACCAGTCGGACCTTGAAATCTGCCTGCCTTTGTCTCCCATTGCTGGGACTAAAGGCCTTTGCCACTGTGCTTGATGCCATGTTACTCACTTGGATGTCCTGAAGCGTATTTAACTGGAATACTACTTGCAGTTAGTTGAGAAAGTGGCTTTGTTGTCCTCCCTAGGAGCCTCAGGGCACAACTGTGTCTTTCCTGTCAGAGCTTGCATAGCAGCTTCCATGACCTCAGTCATTTTGTCCTACAACTTAATTGAATCTGCTCTTTCCAGACCTCACTGTCTCTGTGCTGTCCTCCATATACAACTTAGACACTTCTTTCTTTAAGGACTTTCGGACTTCAGACTTCTTTGTCCTCGAAAACATTTCCTTTGTGTTCCTGTCTCTGGGTTTTTTTGTTTGTTTGTTTTTGTGACAAGGTCTGGCTATGTAGCCCAGTCTCAGCCTCCTGCCTCAAACTCTCAAAGAGAGCTAAGATTATTAGCATGTACTGCTATATACAATTCAGATCTTCCCATTATTAATTGCTTTCAACCCATGTATTAGAAATCCAGATGACAATGTTAGTTTGTAACCTGCTCCATGAGGCATGGAGGTGTGAAAGCCACATAATGTTGGAGCGGTGTCCACTGTCAGCCTCAGCTGGTCATCTCATCGGTGGTGATGGTAGTCAGAACATGGGCAGGCTGAGTGACATCACAGGTAGTGAAAGAATAAAGCCCTAGCATAATACTGTCAACACTATTTTACAAG